TATAAGAGAAAGAAAGATATTATAGAGTCTATAGATAGTATAAGTAAGTAGATAGTATATAATTAGCTAGAATCTTTATAGGTTTATATAGACTAGATAGGGTATAATACTGTCTATTTGAATGGCTTTTTATAGGGTATATTAAGGCTTTATGGTAGGGTATATCTAATGAAAATCTGAGAAAAAAATGATTTTGGCCCAATTCGCCTTACCGCCAACCGTACAGAGTTTGATACCCTGCACCCAAACCTTGATCATTCCTTCTCATCAACGACACGAACTGCAGTACCGGCAATGGCTCTAACCTCTTCAAAGCTTCAACCTTATATTTTTGCCATGGATCCCGTCCCTGAGACAACCATTGGGCCGGCCAACTGCCTCGCAACGCTCCCCGTCGAGCTCATCCGGGCAGTCCTGCGCGAGATGCTTCCCTACCACTCCATCACGGCTTACGAATCCACTTCAAATCAGCCTCAGGTGGCTTTGTCTTATGTTCTGTCTCGGTCCGACTTGGCCAGCGTTTGCCAAGTCTCGCAAAGAATGCATAGCCTCGCCATTCCCTTCCTCTATCATACCATCCTCCTGAAGAGCCAGCGAGAGCTGCTTTATTTCTTCCGTACCATGGCAGAAGTCCCATTATACCGAGAACTTGCTCGGATCTTCATCTGGACTGCCATGCTCTCAAAACATGATTTCGTTTTTACGGAAATGATCGACTTGTCCACTATAACGCTGAGATCCGAGGCCAAAGACGTCGATACATCCATTTTTTGGCATCCGAAAGGCCAAACCGAGGCCCTTGTCGGTATTTTAGGTCCCATGTTGGCTCTTGGTGGCCCTAAGGAATGCCCAGTGTCCCAAATTTTAGCCGCTGCTCTCTCAATGGTACCAGAAATCAGGGTATTATTTCTCAGCATACATACAGGCTGTTCCATAGGACCTTTACCACACCCATCCGTTGCAATGGAGATGACTCCAGAACATGACGCCCTTTCACGCCTCTTTCGGACCTGGAAGTGTAAGTTCTTCTCATATGACAGGATTAGTGGTTTCGTCAAAGGGTATAGTCGTTTTAGCACAGGTTTAACCTTCGATCAGACATGAAAAAAAACCCTCTACACCAAGTGGAAAAGTTAATTCTAGAAGGCTTTCACGACTCCAACCCGACCATATCATCGGTCGCCATCGATTCAGTATTACATATCTTGCAAGATTCGCCGAGGTTGCGTCATGTGATGCTCAAAAGCAATACCGTTTTTAGTGGACTAGTCAGACGACGCACTGGGCATAGACCGTTGCCACCCACTATTCTAAAACACACTCGAACGCTACATCACATTGGTGGCGACCATCCGCAGTCCGGCATGGAGCACCTGGCTATAGCTTTTGCAAACCTTGTCGCACTTCACTATGAGTCTAAGGTTGGGGCGTTCCCAAAACCCCGTGGGCGAGGCTATACAGGCTTCTTAAACTGTCTCACGAGTCTCAGCGCAACCCTAGAAACGTTTTCTCTTACTACACTAGCAGGAGTGTCATGGAAAGGGACTAATACTCCGGCGCTTCTATCCCCAGCACTGCGGCACATGAAAAGACTCCGGTGCCTTCGGATAGAAACAATCTGGCTTTTTGGCACACTGGATATTTCGGCGGCCCACTATGTCGCAGATCTCCTTCCTGTTTCTCTGGTTAACTTCCATCTTATTGACTACTGGGGTAGCACCGAGCCAGATGCCCTTTGGCCTCAGTTCCCAAACGGAATGACACCCTTCAATTTTATCGATACGGTCTTGACTAGTCTCCTCCAGGGCTGCCGAACTTCTTTAACCAAGCTCAAATCCCTTGCTGTTACATCTCCAATCTTCCGCAGGCCTAATAATGGAGAGTGTCAAATGGACGAGGATATAGGGCTGCTTGAAAATCGGTTCTGCTCCCTATTTGCGAGCACCGGGGTTGCTTTCTCTATTATTCGACGCGAGGACTTAGAGGATATGATGCGTTCATCTTGGGGAAGACCTGGCGTTGTCTGAAGCGATATTTTCTCATAATGGAAGGGCTCGACTGATCTGCGAAGCCAATCCTAGCCTGCTAACGAAGATCCCTCAAGCTTGCTACACAGATTTAAGATATTTTGGTGATTAATTTGAAATCACCTAGTATATATACTTTCTGAATTAGGTAAATCCTAAATATGACTCTACCGCTCCAGTTCCACTAAAATACAAGCACATACATACACCGCAGCCTCGCTACTCCAGCCATACCATCGGCTCCTTTAAGTCATTGGTGATATTCGGCAATTTGTCACCTGATGCTACGGCCGTGATTAACTGCGCAAAGAGGTCTGGACGACCCCCGTTTCCCCTATGCCAGCTTCAACAAACGAGACCTTAGAAACAAATGTGACCTCGGTCTACCTCCTTGGTTATGTTTTCGGACCGCTAGTCCTCGCACCTCTATCCGAGCTATACGGCCGTGCAATCGTCTACAACATCTGCAATTTTGGCTTTGTGATCTGGAATATTGCCTCAGCTCTGGCCAACAATCTGAGGGCTCTGATAGTCTTTCGTCTTTTCGCAGGCCTTGCTGGGAGTGCTCCGATGACAATTGGAGCTGGAACAATTGCGGATATGGTTCCATTGGAGAAAAGGGGACTTGCAATGATGGGATGGATAATGGGGCCGGTCCTTGGGCCTACCTTTGGCCCGTTAAGTGAGGTTCTCGTAGCACTTCTAGCCTGCTTTGGTTTGAAACCAAACATGGCTCAATCTAAATGGTTGAACTTTGATGTTGTCACCGTCAAACTGTTATTAATATAATCTATGGTCCATTTGGTTCTATATCTTCCCATGTATGTGAGGGTAAGTCGTACGCTTTCACCATTATATGCCAGCTATATTCCTCCGTCAGACGTCGGCAAGTAATGAGCGCCTTTCCAAAAGGATCATCTGGAAGGGTGACTTGCACATCGTGCAGCCTGTAAATCTCCGGTAAGACAGGTAGTGAAAGATCGTCCTGCCTTGGTACTCTACCACGAGGGAAGTCGTCACCAGTCCAGCTGTTCTTATAGAAATCTTGCTCTTCAATGCTCATCACCTTTCGTGCAATTTCAGTAACTAGATCCGCACTCCATATTCCCTCTTTATGATTGACTGTTTCAAGAAGCTTGATGGCGTGAGCTCTGATTCGATGAATGCGACACTTTAGAGCGGTATAATACAGTGGCGGAAGCCACCCAATATCGGATATAGAAAGGTTCTTCTCCCCTGGGCGCGGAAATAAAGGGTCGTCTATTGAGGCTGATAGACGAAAGTTCCAGAGGTTGATAGATTGAGTTAGTATGGAGAGAAAGGACGTTGTGTGGGTATCGAACACCAGTTCGGATGGTGGCAAAAGGCAAGTGTCAGCCATAATGGTAGCCATTGTGTGATAAAGTCGTAGCATTCTGAATGCAAATGCTTCAATAGAAGTCATTTTCGACTGTAGACTTATTTTCGAAGCTTTGTAGATTCTCAGCCAGGCGCGGAGGTCTGCTTGTATTTGCAGGGCACAATCCGCTATTTCCAGAGGACGTGGAGTCATCTCGTGCCCACGACACTGTTCGCTTATTCTGAAGCTTTCGCTCATCAATCGTTCTAAATGCTGCCGGGCATGATTGACGGATTGAAACATCCGAGACGGCAATTGAACTTCAGTTGGAGGTATCAAATAAATATGCTGGAAACCTCGACCTAGCATTGATTGCTGTATGTTGAGTCTGTTGAATGTTTCGAAAATCCATGGATCGATGCTCTCGCGGTAGGCTTGCAGGGATGCTTTTGTTTGAAGTTCATGGATAAGCCTCAGGCCACTTCGAAGATGGCCAATACCTGCCTTGTAGTAGCCTCGGAGAAACTCCATACAAGTAAAGAGCAAACACGTGATAAGAGCTACTCCAAAAGATGCATCCCCTTTCACTGATAATACACTTTGGACATTGTTGATGGCTTTACTGTATTCTCGTATTGTGAAAAGCTCCCTTTCGTCGAGAGGGTTTCCCTTGTTGGCTATGTCACTGCCATCTCGAATCCGGAGGACCTCCTCTTTGTGCGCGGAGCCTAAGGCTAGAGCGGCATGCAGAATCGCTGGCTCGCTTGAGCTCGCTTGGAATACGAGTGCGTCCCAAAACCCTGAGCGAAAAGCACCTGTGAGTTTGGGCGCGGTTCGTTGCATAAACCAGTCAAAATAACCCTCTGGGTCAGAATTTGGTGAGCTTGACGGTACGAGAGCCGAAGACGTTGCAAATACGCTGAGGGACTTCGGCCTGGAGAGCTCATGTTCAATGTTCTTATTGCCGCCTGCGCTCCAAATTCCATATCCATCACACACCCGGCCGGTAGAAACACAGCGCCGGCAACTCGGCCGCTCTTCATCACACTTCACCTTCCGGATCCTACGCCGAATTGAGCACGGGAGCATTGTTGGTGTGTGGTGGGTCCGGAGGGATCGGTCACTCACCTGCAGGTCCGGCAACCCGATCTTACCCGCGATCTTGCCGGGCGAGAATCTCTTAGGGGCCTGTTGGCCGATGGATGACCATCCATGATCTACCAGTATCGTCTTGCATACCCAAGGTAAAGCACACCGCCGACGTTGGTAAGGTACACATGCGGCGTAGCAAAGCGGTCGGCGAAACTCTTCTTCCCCGAGCCATCCTAAATCGACTCCTCAAGCCCCATGAGTTGCCAAGAATCAATTGGTTAAAAGCAAATGCGGGTCCCGCGTACTGAAATTTCATTGGAAGGGTCGGCTATGCTGCAAAATGATTCGCCCAGAAGCCAAACAGAAAAGAATGCTAACCCTAATCTACCTTAGGTAGGTTATTATTAACAATGGATGTTGCGTGTCATGTCATGGTGAGGAATCTACTAAACAATTACCACTTAACCTCCCTGGCATTGCTCGCAACAACGAGAATCATCCTACGCAAAACCACTCGCCAATCCCTGATGTATGTTGCTCGATCAAATGCTCTGGCCTTCTAGTTCCTTCTCAGTCCACTCCCACAACTTCTTACCCAAATCATCACTCTTTGCCAGCGCGCTCGCTTTATCGGGAATGCCCACGGGATCGTAGTATTGCCCATTGACCACCCCTTCTGCTGTTGCTGCCCACAGCTGGCTTTTAGCACCGTCCTCGATCGACAGACCGAAGAATTGAACCATGAACTGAATGAAGCGAATCATCAAGCTCCCTGAGGAGTTTGAGAATAACTCTGTCTTCACCGTTCCGGGGTAAAGCGACACGGTGGTGAGCTGGGGATATCGTTTTGCAACCTCCATAGCGAAAACGACATTCGCCAGCTTGCATTGGCCGTATCTATCCGTGGCTTTCAGGCCGGCCCCGTCGGTTTTGAGGCTTTCGAAGACGATGCCGACCTTCGGGACATACTTGTGTCCCTCTGAGCTCACGCTGATGACTCGCACGTCCGCTCTTGGGGGGCCTTCAGCAGTCTTGAGAAGGATAGGGGTCAGAAGTTTGAACAGTAGAGCATGCCCAACGTGCATTGTGCCAAATTGCACCTCGTAGCCTTCTTTCGTCTTTCCAAGTTGCCCACCCATGAGACCTGCGTTGAGAGTAAGGACGTCAAGGCGTGTAGCAGAGGCTAGAAATGTACTAGCAGCATCTTTGATGGACGCGAAAGAAGAGAGGTCCAGTTTCAGGAAGTGGACAGACACGTCCGGTGCTTTTGATTTGATCTCCTCGACCGTGGCGTGGCCAGTCTTCTGATTCCGAGCTGCGATCCAAATTTGGGCGGGATTATGTATCGACAAGTCCAGAGCCATTTGTTTTCCAATGCCGGTATTACCGCCGGTAATGAGAATGACTTTTCCTGCAAGCGAAGGAATATCCCTTGCAGGAACGTATGATGATAGATTGCCACCCATGATAAAAGGTTATTCGATGTGTAGAATGATATACAAAGCTGTGGAAAGCTCAGAAACATTCGATGATGAGAATCGATACTTATATGAATCCCTCGGGGTAGCGGGAACTTTCAAAGCCGGACTTAAGTTCGTCTTCGAGCCCGCCTGGCATAGCATGGCGAGAATGGCAGTCTGAGGGATAGCCCAGCCATGTTCGCCTCTCGACCAATCATTTTTCAAGTTAGGCGAACGAGCCAATCAGGCGCCACGAATCTCGATTTGCCTCGCCCGTTCAAAAACTCATAAACCCAGCAATTGCATACCCCTTTCAAATATTCAGCTCCTCGTAAAGTTCAATTTAATTATAGCCTTCCGTCATCATTAATGCCTAGAATCTCTCGTGGTAGGAGGGAATCTCGCAGTCCTATGTAAGAGTCACTATGGACCTACTGCTCCAAGTTATCTTCAATGTGAGCATTGCACCACATCATTTCTTCGTAGGCACTATTAAGGCTCTTATAATAGAGATCATGGTATTGAGCATGGTACTGGTTTATTCTCAGCCTGTGTAGTATCAAAGACCTGCCTAGAGATAGTGACCATTCATAGTCGTAGAGCCCTTTAGACTTTCGCCCATGATAAAGAGTGCTTTCTGTACAGTTCACATCGCTCCACCGACAAGATGGCACTTGCTTAAATCTCGAAAAGGTTTGTCACATGATCCGTCAATTTGCTCCAGTCCAAAGTGCAGGTCCCGGATAGGGATATGATGTGTAGCTCGTGTACAGGTTAAACATAATACCAGCGTCAGTTCTGGTATAGAGACTCGTTCCGGCGGTACCTGTTGGCGGCGTGACGGTTCCACTTCCTCCCACTCTCAAATTTAAGCATTGCGGATAATTCTGAGCCCCATTGTCGTTGAGCGCACCATGTAGAGCAATTATCTCATGACGGATAACGTAGTTGCCTGCTTTGAGGTTCTTAGGAATCACAGTGCTGGATGTGAAGTTGTTTGCGATAAGTGTATCGGTGACCCAAGTTGTGCCCGTAACGATCGAACCCTGAGAGATCTTGGACCACCCTAAACTGCCTGCAGTCTTGGTCGTGCATTCTCCTATAACAGATCAGACGCATGTTAGAAACAAGACGCATGGACTGGCTGCAATATTATACATACCACTGCAAGGGGCGATGTAGTTGATAATAGGCTAAGGTAATGTGTGTTAGCGTCAGCTCACGTCCCTAAAGTGTATCAGGAGTCATAAATCTCAGCGGCGAGGAAATTAAAGCAGTATCTTCTCTTGTCGCCTAGCGCTCACCCCTTTATGAGAATCTGGCCATGTGTTCCAGTAAAATATCAGAGTGTCTCCTGCATTGACATCAATATAGGCTTGTCCGGCAGTGGCACTTTTGTGACAGGCAATATCTGTTGTTTGGAAGGCGCTCGGGGAAACGAATCCAAGGTCTTGGTTGAGCGAGTTCCATCCAGCTGTGACTGGGGATGTACCGGTCGGGTAATAGTACCACACCGGGTCAGCGCCTGCGGTCCATTTTCCGTTGACGGTGACCCCAGAAACAAAACCGTGAGCTGATGTGAAGTCGGCAACGAAGGCTGTTAGAGCCAGAAGGGGTGTTTGGACGCGCATGTTGACACTAAGTCCTGAAGGAAGTCTAGGTATATCAATGATGTATGATATGTAGTCATTAGAGGGTGCGCCTAACTTTGACGGGAAGATCTATTATATAGGCTCGTCTTCTCACAGTAGTCTGACTGACCAGGATCTCAATGTCACCACATTTGTGAAAACTTAAGCCATGTGATGCAGTACGTGATCTAAGGTCTGTTACCTTCCAGGTTGCGTTGCCTATGCACATTTTTTGATAGGCGCAAAATCCATAATTTGTGACTGCCCAGAACCTATCAACAGAAGATATCCTGGCAAAGCCACCAGGCCAAGCGACTGAAGGGGACCCGGTCCTTGGAATCATTTGGTTTGGCCAGCAGACGAATAATCAAAGCCGGGATGACGGAGGAAGTTTACAGATTTATTGGGAAGTCAATTTCTGAAAGCTGTTTGATGGGCGGAAAATCACAGGTCTTACTACAAGGAGACGATTCTTGCTGCGCAAGCCGTAACTCCGCATCTACCAATTGGGAAAGCGGGTGTTACACCAGATCACCTTCCGCCTTGGCGAGGCTTGCCCCCTGGATCTTTTGGGATAGTTGTCTGGGCTTTGATTCGTGTTTGTGAATCAATATGGTATCATAGAATCATCGAAGTCTACATTGAGGGTAAGACGTAGACTCCTGTTGTGCTGAGGCCTTGGCGACCATTTGATAGATGTCCAATTGTCAAAGTAACTGAGTAAAATCTCTCTTGAGCTGGGACTACAGTATGCGTATGCAATTTAAATCAAGTACATATAGAATAGATATATGTGCGCTACCTCAAGCGGGTCTAAATATTGTTTGGAGATATGCAAATAGGTCGTCTTTACTATCAGTTCTCAGGATGAGTGCATACAGAAGCTGGCTTATAAGCACCTTCAGACTAACTTAATTGATGACAACTCTAAATTTTCGCAATCGAACGCCTCACCATGCATTATTCCATGTATGTATGCATCACCCACGAGCAAATACTTGCCGCTGCCTTGAGGGCGTAGGATGAAGGGCACCTTGGCTCCTGCAAGAAGCCAGATTTCATCCCCAGGTCGCGATAATTTCGGCCCATTGCCAAGATAGTGCTTGCTTGACCGGAAAATCCTTCTTTGAGGACTGAATTCCGACCTCAGTCTATCAAATTCACGATGCATCTTCGATGGCCCAGGACGTATCCTCCCGGGCTCAGAAATGGTTTCAGCATCTCTACCTTCATTGGTTCCAGGACTTGAGCCTGGCGTTTCGCTTTTGTCATCAACCAGATCTTGCTCTGACTGTGAAGCAGGATTGCTGATGTTTTTGAATATATTCTTCATCAGTTCGTCGACTTGTGATAGAGGAGGCTCTGAGTCGTTATATTTCGGCAATAACGATGGGCCCTTAGCCTGCAATTCCTCTCGGGCCCCTGTTTTGTTACCCTCCTCAATGCTGAATGGTCGGAGCGCAGCTAGTCGATTGCGCTTCGCATCGGACTTCGACTGGACTTTGCCAGACAGGCTCTTGTTAGATTCTTGTTTGCCTCTTACTGGGCTAACCAAAGCGTCCTTTTCTCCTTTCTGTCTTGCCCAATACCTCTCCAGAAGCCCATCCTCTTTGGGAAACAATTTGTTTGAGTGGCGAACAAACCGGTAGTATTCGGCTTCTTTTTCTTTGTCTGCCATTCCTTCTCGTGTATGGTATTCTCGAGAAATTTCTCTATTCGCATCCATCCAGCTATCGTAAAATACCTGTGTGAAAGCAGATGTTGCAGGATAACTCTCCTCGCTATAATTTGCAATCAGGGTTCGCCAGAGGACTTCATCCGGCGTCAAATTGTCTTCTGTCCAGGGATATGGCTGCGGAAGGTTCACTGCGATGTCTGCAGACTTGCTGAGTGAGAAGCGATCCGATATCACTACTTCTTCCAATACATCCACCAACAGTCCCTGTACCGGAAGACAGTTTCCATAAAGACAATCCTTTCCAGGCGGGCTCCAGTAGCTGTCCCTTGATGCTGACCACTCAGAGTTTCGGAAGGGATATAACGTCCATAAAGGCGTCTCGGCACGAGTCATTGTCCAGTCTGGAACCCATGAAGGGAGGTCGAGATATTTTGCATCATTCTCGGCTCTTTCCACTAGATACGTTCTCATTAATATTTCGAGATCGTTACCCGAAAGCAAGGTATACCATGCCGATTCGATGAAAACCTCCTCGGTGCTGAGACGGTAATTCGGCACGATGGTTCGCCGGTACTTCGATACATACTCCGAGTCATGAGTATCTCTTTCAGCAAGACTGAGTATTGAATATATCTTGTCGTGTGGATCCGTAGCCTCAAACCTTCGGGAAGCATCAAGCATATGTAATATAGGGATTGATGGAACAATCTCCGTCGAATTCGTTCCCAATCGGAATCCTTTCCCGGGGCTCTTAAGCCGGGACCCATCGCCAACCCGAGCAGCTTCAAGCCTTATGATGTTCTGATAGGATTTACCAGAAGAAGCACGGTCCAGGGTGGTAAACAAATTGCGTTGCGAGTCTGGTCGCTCTTTGGTTGTAAGAATAGGTGTAAGGTCTTCGAGAAACAAAGGCTCCTCGAATGCTGGTCCAGTTAGCTCATGCCAGGCCCAGAGATCCATAGAATCACCCATGTTGCTTTCGAACAAGATTGCACCGGCCGTTGTGAGCGTCGACCAGTTAAAGGTGAGCAAGCCACAGATCAGCTGCACCTGAGGCGCAAAGGCAAGCTCTTGCACAACCCAAGCTCTTCTAAACCAAGAACGGTGAAGAAAGGCAAATAAAGGCCACCAGACGCTTGAGCTAAGCTTCGGCAGTCCAAGCTCCTTCGCTACATCATCGTCGTCAAGATGTCGGACTGCTCGAGCTTGCATCTGTCCTATCCCCTTCATCTTTATGGCTAGTTGCAATGCCGGGCGAGTAAAGTAGTCCTCGGGCCCTAGCCAGATTATCACTTTTCGTGTTGCACTATAAATCCGACCCATCACTACACATTCATCATGGTCAGTAATTTTTTGTTTCCTAGTATGAAACGGTAACGCTTTTCATTTTCCAGGACCAACAAGCCTTGGGAAGTCCACTGATGTCTGGAATAGGAAAATGCAAGCTGGAAAAGCTCGCTTACTATTGACTTGGCTGCTTTTCTCATCAATGTCTTCCTGGTTGATACATATTGCATCGATCCATAGCTCCGTTGGAGGCAATAGGTCTACCTCTCGTGCCTCTTTGACCCGCTCATCGTCTTTTTCAGATGCAGCTGCGAGCATCTGCTTCCAAGAATGCAAGAACTCGAATAGGTTTTGACGAATGTGCATGACACGGTCATCACAAACAACAGTCTGTAATTCTAGGGCCTCAGCTTCGGCATCAGCCCGTTCTTGCTGCGTGCGAAACACAGAAATTGGGTTTCCCCATGTATAAGAGAGTGCATCGTATACAGGTTGATCATTCAGATCAACGACTTTCGTGGATAAAAAGAGCACTGGGCCCTCGTAGTCCGATGGGGTGGCCAACGTCACCAAACGGATGGAGCTAGCGGTAGGCAGCGCTGTGTACTCAAAACGATATTGCTCGAGATCGAACTCTGGACTTTTGCGACCAGCGTCCGAATCCTCGGGGGTTGCCATGACGTAACTGCTCTTATAGAGCCTTGACGATATTGTCTTAGGAAAAGATTGAGAAAGCATGTATTTGTTCTTCGAGCTTGGATTGGATGCTGGCTAGATATTAGGCTCGGGCGAGCGTTGGCTGCCTGTGGCTAAGCAAGGCGCTTATGTGATCGCCATTGGGGGCTGTACAATTCGTCCAGGTTGCTTGAGCCAGTAATTTAGGTCGCCTAAAACGCCGAAAAGCCAGCAAATAATACTGTTCTATAAGGCCAAGAACAGGAAATGTGGACATTGGCTTACAATCTTGCAATTCGAACATCTTAGTCTCGTCAGCAAAGTTCTACGCGTTAGGGACAGTTATTAAGCCTTCTGCATTTCATTGTGGTGATTATCTGGATCCGCGGCCTGTGCACACTAGCTAGAAGGTTCACCGGCAGAGGCCATCCGCCGTCTTAAACGGCAGACCGGTGACCAGGGAGGGATAAAGGGCGGCGCCTTCGAAATCAAGGCCGTCGCAGTAACATTTGATAGACTTAGATCCTGCTAACTTCCAACATTAACGTATCAAAGCACGTTTGGCGATTGAAACTATCATGAGGGGAAAGCGGCACGTGACAGGTCACATGCGTCTTTTCCCGGGGACAGCGGCCAAAGCTATCGCACATCGCGCCATGAAAGTACGCTTGCTTATCTGAAAAGTTGTCAATCCTTGCTCCGAAGTCCTAAAGATTGAGACGATGACTACAATCGGTTTATGATAGTCCTCGCCCGAAGATGAATCCATTTCGGGCACCATTTCGGGCGGGAGCAGACTGGCTTTTTGTCGGCCTGACTTCGTCATTCCCTGACCTCGGAACGGACGATGACAACCTCTCTGAAGTTCGAAACTGTAGCGGAGAGTCCAAGCCAGGATGCAGAGTCTTCTACGCCCCTAAAGTAGATAGTCTCGAAAGCTCGAGGTCTTTGGTCGCAGTAGAGGATCTAGAATCATGCAGCGAGTGGGACTTGAAGGATCAAGTTCTCGTATTCCAATATAGGGGCAAATTCCATGCGGTTGACAATGTAAGCGCACCAAATGAATTATGTCATTTTTAAGCTAACTATGGTTCTTCAGAAATGTCCGCATTCTTCATATCCTCTATCAAAAGGCACTGCTTTCGATATCGAAGATTTTGGGGTCGTTTTAAGCGCTGGAATAACGTGCCCTAAGCATGGCTGGTCATTTGATCTGTTTACAGGAATCGCAGATCGAGGCAATTACAGACTGAAACTCTGGGAGATACAGCTGCGCGATATTACCAATTCTGAACAGCCTGCCAACACCTTAGAGTCTACAGAGCGAGAAATCTGGGTCCGGAGAAAGCAGAGGATCGGG